TTTTTTTTTAATGTTTATTTATTTACTTTGAAAGAGCGAGAGCTCGAGCAGGAGAAAGAGAGGGGCAGAGAGAGAGAGAGAGAGAGAGGGAGACAGAAAATCCCAACCAAGCTCTGCGCCGTGAGCATGGACGTGGGGCTCGAACTCGCGAACCGTGAGATCGTGACCTGAAATTAAGAGTCAGACGCTGAACTGACTGAGCCACCCAGGCGCACCGAGCGAGAGCTTTATAAACACGGAGTCACCTGTGTGCTGCAGCCCGGTCACTGGGAGGGTTGGGGGCAGGGCAAGGGGAGGGGTCGCATGGGGAAAAGATAAGCCCAGAGCCAACTAGTAGCCGACACGACACGCAGGGTGACCTCAGCTTCCTAAAAACAGGAACGCTTTCTGCCATTGTCTTAGAAAGGGCCACAGTCCCGGCTAACCCCACCCAGGGCCAGCCCGGACTCTTGTTCAAGACTGCGCATAGCTGGCCAGCCAAGAGGCCACTGTCCCACCCTTTAATCCCCCCGAAGACCAGACTCTCTCTGAAGGTGGGGTCCGCCATAACCTGGAAGGTTCTGGGGTGGGCCTCGTGGGAGCTAAAAGGCTTTGCCTTGCCCGCACCAGAGAGGGTGGCCTCCTGGCCTCTTGTTACCTGCCTGAAACTGATGGCCATTGGCCATGGCTCGTTGAATGAGAGCGTTCATTGAGTTCCTGCTGTGTGCCCAGCCCCGTCGCCGATATGTGGGACACGGCAGTGAAAGACCAGTGAACCTCCAACCCTCACGGGACTGCAGGGAAACGGGCGACGAACAACAAGCACGACGAGTCCGCGGAGCGTGTAATGTGTCGGAAGGTTGGAACTCTGCGGAAAGGCTAGAGCAGGGTCGGCGGCTGGGGAGTCTCTCAACCGGGGGCCGTCTGCCCCCAAGGGACGTTGGCAATGTCCGGACACGTTTTTAGTTGTCACACTGAGACGAGGGACCGCCTCTCTGAGGCCAAAGTCCTGCGGAATGAGCCGGGGGAGGGGAGGACCCTGGGGCAGGACACTCCGATCACACCTGGTTTGGGGGTGACTGTTGCTCCTGCCCCTGCCCCCCCCCGTAGTAATCGTGTACCTGGAGGAAGAATAAGTCCGAGCCTCAGCCCTCAGGGAACCCCAGGACCTCAGCGGGAGGCCACCTTGAAATCACCCGGACATTTCCCTTCATTCAATGCGACTGACAATCTTACAATCTTGGATGTGATTGAAGGTGGTGGTTCTCGGGTGGGGGGGTGGGGGGGCAGTCTTGTCCCCCAGGGGACACTTGGCAATGTCCGGGGACAGTTTGGTGGTCAGGATTTGAGGAGGGAGCTGCTGGCAGTAACTGGATGTGTGGAGGCCAGGGACGCGGCTCAGCCCCCGCCATATAGCGCGTGGGCACCCCGAAACCGGGAACGACCCAGCCCCCAGTGTCCACAGATGCCAGGAGCGGGCGGCTTAAGCCGTAGACGTGTCTTCTCGCGCGGGTCTGCAGGCTGGAAGTTCAAGATCGAGGGGCCAGCAGGGCTGATCCCTAGTGAGGCCTTTCTCCTCTCTCTCTCTCTCTCCCTTTTTTTTTTTTAATTTATTTTTGAGAGAGACAGAGCACGAGCAGGGGAGGGGCAGAGAGAGAGAGAGAGAGAGAGAGAGAGAGGGAGACACAGAATCCGAAGCAGGCTCCGGGCTCCCAGCTGTCAACGCAGAGCCCAACTCGGGGCTCAAACTCCCGAACCACAAAATCATGACCTGAGCCGAAGTCGGACGCTTCACCGGCCACCAAGGCACCCTTCTCTCTCTCTCTCTCTCTCTCTCTCTCTCCTTATAGGGACGGACACCAGTGCTACTGGACTAGGGACGACCCTGTGACTTCGTGTAGCTTTAATTACCCCCTGAGAGGCCCTATCTGCAAATGCAGTTACACTGGGGGGTTGGGGCTCCTACATGATTTGGGGGAGGGGACACATTTCAGTCCTTAATGACAGGTGTCTTCCTTTTCTTCGTGAGAAACGGGAAACATAAGCCCTAAAGAGAAAGTGGCTTTTATTTTATTTTATTTTTTTTTCAGTGTTTATTTATTTTTGGGACAGAGAGAGACAGAGCATGAACGGGGGAGGGGCAGAGAGAGAGGGAGACACAGAATCGGAAACAGGCTCCAGGCTCCGAGCCATCAGCCCAGAGCCTGATGCGGGGCTCAAACTCACGGACCGCGAGATCGTGACCTGGCTGAAGTCGGACGCTTAACCGACTGCGCCACCCAGGCGCCCCTAGAAAGTGGCTTTTAATAAGAAATGTTATGTTCTCTTTTCTCCCTTCCTGTGTCTCTGAGAAGGAGCCACAGAGACCCTGGGCACCTCCCTTAGCCACAGTGGACAGCAGACAACCACTTCCCGTAAGGAAAGAGAAACAGTTATAGGTTAGTGTCTAGGGTCTTGAGAGCTTAACAACACCGGGGGTTTTCCCAAGGGTCCCAAGGGTCTCCCGCAATAGTCCTGACCTCCCAACCTGAGTCCTGACCCACCACCCATCAGTCTCTCCCCCCTGCCCCTGTGCAGCTTGGCCCCTGGTGACCACAGCCCCCTGCGTCGCCAATGGTGTAAAGGAAGACCAGACCAGGGGAATTCGCCCTCTAGCGGGTGAGATAGGGAATGACATCATGAGGTGATTTGTGGGAAGAAGAGAAAGCAGGAGGGCGTCAAAGAGGATGGGGGAGGGCTGTTTTTAGCTGGGGAGGCCAGCTAGAAGACTTGTTTGATAAAGAGGTCGGGCAGGGACCTGAAAGAGGTAAGGGAGGGAGCCGTGCGGATATCTGCAGGAAGAACGATCCTGGCAAAGGAAATACAGGCTGTGCAAAGGCCCTGAGGCAGGACCGTGCCTGGTGTGTTTGAGGAACAGTGAGATCGGTGTGTCTGGTGAGCAAGGGCAGAAGTAGAGGAAAAGAAGGAACATCGCTCAGGGCCTTCTGGGCTCATGGTGAGGGCGTGGGCAATCACAAGAGCTCCAAGCAGAGGAGGCCCGTGACGGACAGGGATGGTCACAGGCGCCCCCTGGTGGTGGAGGGGGGGCGGACATGGAGACCTGAGCAGAGGCGGCTGTGCTAACCCAGGCAGCAAAGTGCCGCATTGCCTCAACATTCTCACCCCAGCACAGGCACTGAGCTTTACCTGCGCATCGACAAAAAGCCCCTTCTGCTAGACTTTTCCCGAAATAAAGACACGTGTCCAGAGTCACATGGGAGAAGATGAGCGAAAACTCCACAGAGTGCCTGGCAGATGGCTGTGCTTGGCCCGCATCTGCGGAGAAGCTGGGCCAGGGCAGCCCAAGGGTGGG